CCCCCCCCGGCGTTGCGTGTCTGCCCCTCCATCTTGTTGTTCTATTCGAGAGCGTCTGTCTGCCCCTGGCCCGCCCCATGGGCAGCCCGCGCCTGAGCCCGACCCGCCAAGATGGCCCATCGTCGAACGCGGCAGATCGCGCCATGGCGTCGGCGGACTCCTGCCCCATCTGCCTCGCGGCGTCCATCCCCGAATGGCGACTATGCCGAGCCCTCCCCTGTAAACGTGCGTGTGTCTCCTGCTCAGTTGACAAGGCTGGAGTCCGTCCCACTCACCCCCCCCCCCCCTCATCCCGGCTGTCTGCTCACGCGCCCCGGCCGCGGTATGTCGTGGTATCAGACGAATTTTGCGTCCTCTGTCTGGCCCGGTGGGCGACATCCAGCGCGCTGCGCCTCGGTCGGCCGGCTACCTGCCCCCTGTGTGTGGTTCCCCTGCAGGGGGGCTTGGTGTCGGCCTACTGGGAGGACACGATTTCCAGCATGCAGGCCGACTCACCTGCCGGTTGGGCGGAGCTCCTGATGTCGATTATGCCGATGGATGGCCGGCCACCGCGAGGCTTCGTCTCCGGCCGCCATGGCACCGTGCAGGTACGGGGGCCCTTGACTCCGCCCCATGTTGCCAGCCACCGATGTTCCCACTTCTCACGGTCAAACCTCCCTTGGCCTCTTTGGACCTGGGTGCAGATTTCCTTTGCCGCTCGGCCCGCGACCGCGCCTGCGCCGGTGCCCGGGCCCGGGCCGGGCCGTCAGGTCCGCGCCTCGGACCCTGGGGATGAAGAGTTGGATGATGACCTGGCTTGGCTATCGATATCAGCCTCGTCCGAGGAGGCGTCTGCTTTCTCGGCCCGAGCCCTGGCCTTCCGGCGGTGCGTCATCCCGCTCGCTCGAACGTGTTTCTTCCTCCCCCCGCCCTCCCCATGGCTGTACATTGACCCCCTTCGCCTCCTTTTTATGTCCGCCGCCTCCGGCGCCTTGTCCCTTTCCTGGCCGGTGTCCTGTCTGCCGAAAGGCGCATCTATGAGGAGTGCCTCCGTCCGCTCCATGTGCCGCATCATGCCCGGAATCGCTTCCGGACCCTGAGTGCGTTCCCATGCTTTGCCACTGTTGCCTGCTTCCTTTTCCAACCCTCACCACGCGCGAATCCGCGGCGCCTTCTCCTGTCCGCCCTCCGTCCCGTCGCCGCATAAACACACACACACACACACACACACACACACACACACACACACACACACACACACACACGAAAACGCATACTCACACGTAAAAACGCATACACGTAGCCGCCCAGCAGCTGCAGGGGTCCACGGCACTGGCCACCATGCGACGCCTTCGCCCTTGGATCGAGCGCGACCTGCTGGCCAGCCTGCCGTTTCCCTTTCCCCCGGCAAGCCGGCTTCCCGATCCGCCGGGCTCACTGCCAGCCCCTTCGGATCGGCGCATTTGCTATGCCCCGGTGTTGGCCTATGTGACCTTCGACTCGCCCGGCGGCCGGCCCCACCGAGCGGATCACTTTGCGCGAATTGGCCCGGAGAGCGTGGTTGGGCGCATTTCGCGCGCCCGGCGTAGCCTAATTGTCCACACCCGCAGCGTGGTGGAGTCCCTCATTTTGGCCGGCGGCGGGGTGGACATCGAGGCCATGGCCGACGCCCTGGTGCCCTTCTTCATTCGTGACCAGCCGGCCCCCGGGGATGGGGCGCCGCTGCCGGGGGGCATATCAGCCCGGAATTGCGTGCGCTCGTGCGTGCCGAGCGGGCAGCCGCCCTCCAGGCCGCCCGCGACACGGCGCACCGTTTCTCCTGGGAGCTTGCCCGCTTCGCCGAGGCGGCCAGCTGGTCCCTCAGCGCCTATGATCGCCACGGGCCGGGCTACATCATGGCCGTCAGTGGCCACGCTTCGGAGGGCCCTCGGCCGGGGGCCCCGGCTCCGGAGGGCACCGAGTACTCGCATGCCAACGGCCATGCCTGGCTCCTGGCCACCGGGATGTATGCCGCGCGGGTGCCGCACATGCTGCTGGCCGATCTCGACCCGATGGGCGGCCGGTCGGAGGGGCGGTCATTTGCTCGGCACCGGGCGGGATCGGGCTCTCGGTCCCGGGGCCGCCGGCGATCGCGCTCCCGGTCCCGGTCCCGGTCCCGGTCCCGGTCGCGATCGGGCTCTCGCCGGCGGTCGCAGCGCCATCGAATGCGCGTTCACAAATAGACAAGCCACTCCGTTCTTTCCCCCTTCCCATCCATTCACCTGAGCGGAGGCGCCTTCCAAATGGGCACCGTGCCGGCCACGGAAAGCAGCAGCGGCAGCAGCAGCGGCAGCAGCAGCAACGGTGGCAACAGACATAGCGGCGTGGGATTGTTCAACAACGTCTATTCCGGACACGCGTGCGGCGATAGGCGCGCCGGCGGAGATGGCCCCTCAGGGCAGGGCCTCGGATGGAGGCGCGAGGCCTGCCTCACTCATCAGGCGCAACACCCGCTGGACGTCGGGATCCGTTTCATCCAGCTCAGGTGGCGGACTCGTCCCCGGCCCGAAGGACGCGGCGAAGGTCTCCATCAGTGCCCGAGGCGCATGGGCTAGGCCCAGCGAATCGTCCAAGCCCAGCTGTTCCAAAGTCTCAGCCGGCTGGAAGCTGGCCATGGCCATCTCAATGGCCCGGCACCAGCGCTCCCGTTCAAGTTCCGACTCGGCCGAGAAGAGATACCCAAACTGGGCATCGGCCGCCCAGTCCGAGCTGGCCGTCGGCCGGCCGGCCGCCGACAGGGTGGCCAGCAGCGAGGGCGAAGTGGGCGGCGGAGTCCCAGCCGCGGGCGATCCCGCACCGAAGGACCCACCGAGCCCGGGGCTGCTGGACGGGGCATTGCTGGAGAAGAGACGCGACCAGGACCGCGGAGCCGGGATGTCCGTGGCCCCGGCAACCTTGGCGGCCGGCTCGGCCGGGGGAGGCGCCGCCCCGGCACTCGAGTCCATGATCAGCCCCTGGGGCGTGAAGTTCGGGCAGCGAATGGTGAAGCGCTCCGGCCGGCCACCTGGCTGCTGGCGTTCCACCAAGAACCCCGGGCCCAGGATGAGCAGCCCGCGCGGCGGCGAGTCGGCCGCGCAGTCCGAATTGAAGTATAACAGGCACCGGCCAACCAGGACCACCAGGCGTCGGCGCCAAAGGCGCGTGTGGCGCGTTTGCTTTCGGAGGATGCTACGTGCCCGTGCCTGCGGGTGGGACAGCATGGTCAGCAGATTGAGATTCGACACGCCGAGGAGCTTTCGCGCCACCTCCTGCGGGGGGATGCTCCGTTCCAGGACAACGACCAGCGACAGCAGTCGGGACACATGGGCCTCGTGCTGCTGCCGGTACGCCCGGGCGAAGCCCCCAAGCAGCCGGCCGAAGTCCAGCGCGGCTGTCACACAAGGCCACCCGGTGGAGTGCGGTCAGTATAAGTGCCTCGGGGAACGGGGAAGCGGGGGGACCAAAGACGAGGCGGGCGCCAGGGAGGGAGGGGACGGGGGGAGGGGGGGGGGAGGCGGGGCCGAAGGCAGGACATTGGAGGAGATAAGGGGAGGGCCGAGGACGCACAAAGCTTGCCGGCCAACGCAGGCCAAAGGGCCGAAAGTGGCTCGAGCAGGCGCCGAAGTTCCTCATTGAGCAGGGTGTCCTGTGAGGAGGTCTCGATGCCGGAGTCCACGAAGACTGCCGGGCCGGGCAAATGGCAAGGTCAGTGTCGGTGACAGGAAAAGTGCAGAGCGTCCACACGCACGTGCGCGCGCGCACGTGTGTGCGTGTGTGCGTGTGTATGCGCGGGGCGGGGAAAGGAAGGGGAGATGTCGCACTTGGCGAGCGCAGCGCAGCAGCAACGGCATCCCCGTCGCTCTGGGCATGCAGGCTTTGCGGCAGCATGGCCGCCCCGCTGACCTGGTCCGCCGCCGGGGTGGCTGACGACAGGCGCAGCATGTCCCACGAACGATCGGTGTCGTCGGGGAAGGTGGAGTATGTACTTAGGTGGCTGGTCACGGAACAAATGGAAGACACCTCGGAAAGATCGGAGTGGCTGTCCGGATCGAGATGCCCATCAGCGGCATCCTCTCCGGTATTCATGGGCCGCTCCTCCCGCGAAAGGGGGTCCTCCAATTCCGAGATCCGGACAGGCTCGGGCAGGGGTTCGGACTCGGGCTCAGGCTCAGGCTCGGGCGATGGGCAAGGGGTGCTGTCTGCCTCTGGGGCGGGCTCATCCGGCGGAGTGGGGCTGCCTGCCGGAACCGCCGCCGCCGCCGCCGCCGCCGCAGCCGCCAGCGTCTTGGTGAGCAAAGAGACCGGCTCCGAGGTGCCGGCCGGTGGAGGGGTCTCCACAGCAGTGGGCAGGTCCTCCTCAAGCAGGAGGGGGCCCGGGCCCAGAGGCAACTTCTCCAGCAGCGGAGCCTGAGCAGCAAGCAGAGCGCAGCGTGTCCGTGCCATCTGGGCCAGGGCCATGCCAAGGGCCGCGTCCCGGGCGCCCAGCTCACCGGCAAGACGCTTGATCTCCAAGTTGGCAGCCTCAGCCTCCAGGGTGGCCGCCTCGGCGGCCTGAGCCGCCTCCTCGGCCAGGACGATGGCCTCGCCAAGGTCCTGCTGTGCCTGGCTCAGGGCGGCCGCCTGCAGGAGGAAGTGCTCGCGCAGGGTGGCCTGCTCGGACTGGATGCGCGCGTGGAGCTCCCTCAGGCGCTCCGACTCGAGGGCGTCGCGACCGGCCGTGGCCGCCAGCGCGCCATACTGCATCAGCAGCCGGTCCATGGAGGCACGGATGTCCTCGCAGTAGGGGCATTCCGTCTGCCGGGCGGGGCGTCCCAAGTGGCCAGAAAAAGCCGGAGGACAGGTGTCAGCTGGCGCGACGGGCCCGGTGCCTTCAGAAAGGACAAAGGGGAGGAGGGGGGGGGGGGGAGGAGGCGAGGCGAGGCGCAGAGAGGGGACATACCAGGGGGACCTCCTCGCCGATGTCCAGCAGCTCGGCCGGGCCGTCGGCTTCCAGGAAGTCAAATGCATCGAAGTCATGCCCCCGGCCGGGTTCGCTCTCATCCGACAAGGGGGGCGATGAGGCCGAGGAGGATGAGCCGGTGGACGAGAGGGCATGCTCCAGGAGGGACTCCGTGACCAGGAGGTCGGCCCCGACCCCGACGGGCAAAGTATCTTCCAGGTCGTCGAGATTATCCTGCAGAACCACCTGGAAGTAGTCTGCTGCGGCCGGTGTCAGCGAGAGGTGAGGCGGCAGGCGAAGGAAGCAAGGGCACGGGCAGGGATGAGGGCCGGCAGCGGGACCGGAACACCAACGGCGGACTCCCTAGACACACCTTCCATGTCGTCTTCCGGGTCGCACAGCAGCGAGCCGAGCGACCGGACCGCAGTCAACTCGGACCACCCGGCGAAGCGGTCCATGTCGAAAGTGGGCCACGTCCGGTCCGACAGGCGGATCTTGCGGGCCGAGTTGTCCGACCCCAGGACCCACAGCAGCTGCGAGCCCACGAAGCACACCCCGAGCGCCCGCCACCGGGCCCCGGGTGGCAAATCCACCAGGTGATCCCGCATCAGGCCCGGGGCTTGGAGACTGCCGGCCGGGGCGAAATCCCCCGGGGTCCGGTGCGCCGACCACACCCGGATGGTCCGGTCCTGCGGGCCGATGGAGTACACCGAGTCCGAGCCGGGCCGGTGGTGGAGGCCGCCCACGCGGCCCACATGGCCGCGCAGAACCGCCAAAACAGACAGCGTCTGCAGCGATGGCGCCAGGTGAGCACGGGCCGGCTGGGCAGGGCCAACAAAGGGCACGAAGCCCGGGCAGGGAGGGAGCCGGGCGGGAGGAAGCACGCACCTTGACATCGAGGATGACGATGGATCCGGAGGACAGACCGGCCCAGATGGTTCCGAGTGTGGAAGCCGCAGGGCCGGCGGGCTGTGTGTCAGCCTCGGCCCCGGGCCCAGTGTCAAGATCCGAGGGCTTGACCGCCGGCACGTAGCACAGCGAGTGAACCGCACAGCGTAGCGGGATGGACACGGTCAGCGATCGCGAGTGCGTTGGCTCCAGCATGAAGGAGGCATCCGATCCGAGGGAGGGGGCCGGGTCGGCTGATGACCCCTTCACCAGGGCCACCGGCGTGACGGAGGACAAGGAGGGCAGCCACACGCGGATGGTTCCGTCATCGCTGGTTGCAGGGACCGGGTGCGGGTGAAAGGGTTAGCATGGGCGAGCCGCATGGGGCGCGTCGGGAGGAACTCCCCCGCCAGGGGCAGGGGGGGGGGGGGGGGGGGGGGGGGGGCGCGCAAGCGAACCTGCCACTCCAGCAAGACCCATTGGATTGAGCCACCGCCACGCAGCGAACCCAGCTCCGGTGGCCGGCCAGGGCGCGCAGGGGCCGGGGCGGCGGCCGGGTGGCCGGGGCCGTCCGTCGGGCTCCACCCATCACGGGGGAGGAGAGCCCCGAGGAAGAGGCGGACGAGGCGCCGGAGGCGGAGCGCGAGGGCGTGGAAGGGGGCCCGGAGTCCGGGCCATCGAGCGCAGTCGGCGGCGAGGATGCCAACAACAGCAGCAAGGGGTCCCCGCCATGGTCGCCATCAGCTCCAGGCCCGTCGTCAGGATCCTCCGGACCGAGGCCGAGCACGGTGTTCGGGCACCAGGCGCGCGTGGTGAAGTCCACCGACACTGGGGGGGG